GCTGTGCTTTCTGGACAAGGGCATCCACCCTTCTGGACTAGGGGGGCAAACGACAAGGCATGCAGTGCAGTGACAAGGTCATCATCCAAATGCTGTGACTTGCATACTTGCCTCAGGTGTTGGGATGCAAGTACACAATGGTGGCATATGTCCAATGTCATCACTCAGTCACTGTATGGTTTGCTATGGATGCTGCTTAGGAGGAAAGTGCAGAAAATATTTTGTCTAGACAGAATATGGGCAGAAAAATGTGCACTTGAAATGAATAAAATATAATGTAGAACAACAGACAACATCTTCAACTTGAAAGTAGGTCCAGATGCAGAGATTTATCTCCACTGTTTTTATTTAGATATACATTATCCAGGTTATGTTCAGGTCATCCACAAGATACATCTGGATCAGGGTAAAGGTCTTTCTTACCTTTCAGTTTTTCTGCCTTGGCAGTATGGAGAGTTTTTCTTGACCTTGTATTGCTGACTCCTTGCAAACATTTTTCTTTGATGTGTGAAAAGTTAATGAATATGGATAAGTGCATTTTCATAATTTATTAACATTTTGGCACAATGTGCCCACATCTCATTTGGCTTAACAGAACTATTACATTCTGAAATAAGAACTCTAAAAACATTCCTCCCCCCACCCCCAAAATTTTAATGAATAATCAGGAGATGAACCAAGCAAGATTCAGACTAATTTTGAGAGTTCTGTCCCCAAGAATCTCTGGTGGGCCATCAGCTTCCTGTTAATGAAAATAAATGGCAAAGAGATAAAAACTTCTATTGACTTTTATAGGGCTTATCTGTACAGCCTTGTGATGTGCTTTCTCCTGTTCTTACAATGAGAGTAGAGCGTGTTGTTCTGAAAACCACTATCCCATTTCCTGTCCTCTAGTACCCTTTCCCTCTCCCACTGGAGACTTACATGGCACTGCAACCAGCGGCTTTAGGAGCATTCTGAAGTTGGTGGCCCGGCTGACTTGCACAATTGCAGTGGCCCTCCCCCATCTCTTGTTGAAGGCTCGTGTTGTGAAATGCCTGGAAGTGAATACTTGCAGAGTAAAGGAAGATACAAGTCTGGGATCCCTCCTCCTATCCAATTGTTCATTTCTATTTTGTTGAATGGCCCAGTTTCTTTGCCTACAATTTTCTGTCCCCCACAACTCTGTTAAGTGTCAATGGTACTACCATCACAGTAACATTTTAATAATTCCAAAAAGCAAAGCAAAAACAAAAAACCACACACACACATACACTTACACACAGAGAAAGGCTGTTGAAAAGATGGTCCAGTCTGGTGTGACACATTTCCTGTGCACTGCTGTAATATTCCTTCCATGATTGACTAAGATGGGGAACCAAAGAGGAGAGGGGTGAGCGAAGTAAGCAGACTGAGTTTTGTATCATTGCCCATTTCACAAAGGCCTTCATGGTGGAAGGTGCTACAACAACAGAAAGTCTGACCTCAGGGAATATTCCCTGAGCTGAAAAAAAGAGAAAATGTTGACAAAGTTTTGTTCTCACTGGTGAGCAGAGGAATGACTTTGGAGGCACAGAATCCCATGGCCAGATGGTAGGGCACGGTCCTATCATTTGGAGCCCTGCAGGTTGCCAGCTTCTCCCAGGAACACAGAATGTTCACATAGGAGGTTTTATTCCATTTTCTGGTGGAAAACATCACTTTCCTTGACCTGGTCTCAGCCTGCCCCAGGAATGGGCTGGCAACATGCAGGAAGCACTGATGTGAAGAAAGATCTTCAGTCTAACTTATAGAAAAGCTGACCAAACCAGTTTTGATTTGAACTGCACATATTTGCCTGAAAATTTATTTATTTTCCTAGACCAAAGCCCCGGGACAAATTTGACAATTTCAACTTGGATCAATATTTTGTGATTCATCCAGACTTTCTCAGATACATGAAAAACAGGTAAGACGTAATGTGAAATGAACTTCAAACATCAGGAACACTTTCAAGATTTCTAATAAGCAGTGTTGGCAGTGTGGATAGGTGCAGAAAACACTGTTTTGTTTTGAACTTGGAACAAAGTAGCTCCAAGCAAAACATTCCATCAAAATTGTTCTAAGTTGGCTGTGTTCTACTGGAATGAAACATGAAACAGGTTGAGCGTTCAATGTTTGGTCAAAACAAAACCTAAAATATTTAGTGTTCTGGGTATAGGAAACAATGAGAACTTGGGGCCAGCTGCTGCTGCTTTCTTATTTTCATTCTAGGACTATAAGAATAGGGGTAGTGGTGATGGCAATTCATTCATTTCTTTAATTTAAACTATATGATCACCTACTTCTTAAATGACTCTGGGTGGCTAACAGGGTTAAAAACATCTAGAACAAGGAAAATGATAAAAATATAAGAAATAATAAAGTGAAATGCACTATACTGGGAACCAGATACATAGTTCATTTTGCACAGCGGGCTCATTTAACTTCCTGGCCCAGCACCTGGGGGAAGAACTGCTGTACGTCTTCAGGGCCATCCTAAAGGATGGCAGGGATGAAGACAACCAAATTGGGGGAGGGGTGGGGGGAGGTTGTTCCATAGGGCAGGTGCTGCAACAGAGAATGCCACAATACTCAAATTGAAGAAAATTTGGCCAACCATGTGATTTTAAAAACATTAACATTAAAATCAATCTCTGTTGAAAATGGTAAAAACAAGCTTAGCTTTTACCATCTGAAAATTATATTTAGA